GGCACCTGTCACCATGGGAATATATTTATCATATTCGGATATCTTTCGAAACAGATAGGAAATACTCCATCCAAGTGTTTCATTTTTCAATGATTTGTAAAGCAATCGAATCAACAATGGACTGAGAATGTTTTTACAAGGCAAAATCGATGCAAATGCCCACATAATGCATTGTCGAATAACAACATCGGTTGTTGAGAGAAGATCCGGTAAATTCCCAAAATAATCCGGTTCGACAAAACCACAATGTTGTGCTGCATGAGCACAGAGAATGTATTTGACATGAAGCCGTTGCGAATGATCATCTATTTCTTCGGCTGCTCTTTGTATTTTGTGGAATATAGCAGACGGTATTTCTTTTCCTGCAGCGACTCTAAGTGCCAGGAACATCAGACGAGAAGAGTCATCCTCATCCCCATCGGCTGCCTTGTCTGATTCCTCACTGCTTGTTTCAGCATCACTAGCATCTTCACTGTCCATAAATTCATCCTCGGATTCCTCGTCGCTCTGACTGTTCTCCTCGGAACTTTCTTCGTCTGAATCAGAACGTTGTACAATGTTTATAAAATCCGTCGATGGATTGCACCCGTGATCAAAGAGAAATTCGAACAATTAATTCGAATCGATGGTTTAAGTACACAAGTTCTTCTTGCCACTGTTCATGGATTATATTCCATGGCCATCAGTGGTGCTCACCTTGATCAAGAAACGATCTCACGATTGAGACATCTATCAAGCAATGGTGATAGTTCTTCGATGGAATCCATTCATGAATTACTCGATTTTCTCGATAATAAACGAATCTTATCTCATGTCTCAAGTTCGACGACTGGTGGTAACGTGAAAAAAGAATTAACAGCAACACAAACTACATCTGTTTCTCGTTCCGAAGAAGAATTAATTGAACCAACAGTGAAACTTCATAGTATGGATCACTTAATCAATACTGTCGGTCATCTTGGTCGAGCATTCAATGCTGAATCGAAACCGATCGATGTTCGAGAAGGTCACAATCAAGCGTGGTATCGAACAACATGGAATGAAGTATCCAGTCTCGCAACTCTGGCTAAAACAGGCCATTTGAAAGATCAAGATTTCGATTATTTAGTCGCCAAATTTGGTGATGGAACGCATTGGGGTGTGGTACCATGGACTAGTCGGGTAGAAATCTTTGAAATGATCGCTACAGCTTTTTGTGATGTTGCCAAGAGTAATCAAGCCATGTCAACGGAAGTGATCGATTCCATCATTAATCGTTTATCTGGGACTAATAACAAGATCCATCGTGCATGTGCTGAAGCTCTTCTCTCTGCCATGAAGAATCGACGCTCCTTCAGTAAAAATCAAATGAAACAAATTGAAGAGCAATTGGAAAAAGCGACTGACACCGTTGTAAAACAGCATCTGATCGAATTGTACGCATTGTATGTTTCGAAAGGTCATCGTTTGAAACTCGATTTAGATTTGATTAAAGACGATTTATTGGATAAAGACACGTGTGAAACAACTAGCTATCTCTATTTTAAAGCAGCAACATTAGAACAACGAACATTCTCGGAAAGCATTCTGAACACACTCAGTCAAGTGGCTGAATCGAAGATGTATGGTGTCAAAGCACGTGATAATTGTCTATGGGCATTGGCTTATAGTATTAAACAAGCTACAGAGAAGACATCGATTCCTAGCGAAGTGATCAATACGCTAGGTAAACTACTCAGTGATGCCGAGAAAAATATCAAACAAACCGCAGCTATTGCTCTCTGTTACTATGGGATGGATGAATCCACGATCTTATCTTCCGAAATCTTAGAAGGATTAGCCGAGATGTTGAATGAAACCGATCATGGTTTATTAAATAATATTTTATCTGTTTATCTTCGATTGACTAAACAGGACGAAGAAATTTCCAGTGGTGTTCTAAAGAAACTTGGTCCACTTATCTATCATGACGATTTTTCCATTCGTGAAAAATCGATTTGGATCTTAAACATGTTGTGGACAATCATCAGAACATCAAATTAAAGATTATCGAACAAATCGATGGATGTTTCAATGATGTAGAATTTCGCATTCGAAACACCGCAGCATTGATATTCATCAGTTACTGGAAGGAACGAATTCATCAAAATGATAAAAAACTTCTTCGAATTCTTTCTATTCGAATGGAACAGTTTATCTCCACAGTCTTTCGTCAAGCTTTTAGTTTAGATGTTCAACAATCGAGTCTGGATCTTCTTCAATTATTCGTTGGAAAAGATTTTATCTTATCTGAAACATTGATTCATCTAATCGAACGTTGTCTTTATGATGGAGAAGTGTCGATCTCAAGTAAATCCATTGGTGTTCTGCAAATCTATTTGAAAAAACATCCATTACCACCCACGACATTTGTCTGTCTCGAACATCTCTTAACTCGAGAAACACCGATAATGAATGAAGTGATTTCAATTCTCAAATCTCTCGTTATGACAGGTGAACGTTTATCGAAAAAAGCTATTGATATGCTCGCTCAACTATTATTTAAAAGTTCTCAACCAAACGAAATTACAAAACTATTAACACATGCTGATCGAAATCAACCATTACCGAAAAGTATCGATGAACTTCTTCGACAGATTTATTATGGGAAAATCCTTCGATATTCAAGATGTCCAGCCACTTCAAATAAAGCGATCAAAGAACTTCTCTATTCGACTAGCCAAGGAAGATCTTTATGTACATCTGTTCTCGATCTTCTTCTTCGAAAATTAGAATCCGATCAAGAACAACGTTCGGCATTGATGCCAATCTTAGTCAACGTTGTTTCCAATGGACAATCATTGAATAAAGATGAACATTTATCAATTTTAGGAAAGATCTTTTTCGAACAGATCGATCAACCATCGATCGATCTGATCCAAATCTTTACTCATTTGACGCGCCAAAATCAAATTATTGCCGATGAAATCATCGGCCGATTATATGACTATGTAACATATCCACCTATGAATCATTTTATTATCGAAATCTATCAATATCTCATTGAACGGCAAAAACCATTGGAGGCATCGATGATTTCTCAGATCTTTCAATTGTTCTTCAATGAACGTCGATGGAAACAATTTCATCCTGATTTACAGTATCGATTAGCTTTGTTTTATAAAGCTGTGGCTGATAATCGATCGAAGGAAATCGATCAAAGATCTCTTTCATTTCTCCTTCGATCGGATCAATCGCTCAATGTTCGCAAAGAAATCTGCACCGCCCTTCGACTTTTGATCGATCATGGAGAAAAACTTCAGCAAAAAACCATCGATATTCTGATCAATTTCATTAACAATGATGATGATGCGGATCTTCAAACGATTTCATTTGAAATTCTCAATTGTGTTCGATCGTCCGATAGAAATATCTCCAAATATCTCGATGTCTTTCAATGTAATGATCAAACGGATGATCGAGTGTTATTGAAACAATTGAAAGAGGCAATGACCATCGGAATGAAGTTACCCGAGCCATTAATCATTCGATTATCACACATGCTCTACAGTTGTGATTTACAAGTGAAAACCAATGCAGCGATGATCTTGGCATCGACAATGTCAAAAAGGAACACTCTTTCACCGCGAGTCCTCAGTATCATTTCAATGACACTTCGAGATGAAACGATCAATATGAAAACATTACAATTGTTGGTCGACAATCGATCTGAACAACCGTTACCCATGGCAGTTATTGATGATCTTCGCTATTTAGCCACTCGTTCATCGAAAGAACCTGTACAACAATGTGTTCAAGAGATTCTTGCGACACAAATGAAGAACAATCGAACAAAAGTCGAATTCCTTTTTGATTATCTCAATACGAAGAAGGACAAGAGTTATGCAAATGATGTTCGTCGAATCTTGAAAATATTTCGTGGAATGATTATCATCGAAAAACGAATCACCGATGAACTATTTACATTGGTGATGGAACATTTCCTTGGTAAAGATCAAGATGAAATTCTCGATCTTTTTCTTCTAGCCCATCAACACAATATTCCACTTGATCAACATTTAGATCTGATGAGATCCATTGAAATGGCCCTATCGAAAGATCCCAAAGTCAAACTGATTGAACTGATGGGGATTCTCATCGATCAGGGTGCTATGATTGAAGATAAAACCCAACAAATTCTATTCCAAGTGTTCGTTGAAAATAATGATGAAAGTACTTTGAAAGTACTCGAATGTGTTGCACATCATCGACCATTACCGAAAGAGATGCTACTGTTCTTCGTTAAATGTCTTTCTGATCCATCGAAAGAAATGTTCGTCACCCTCACAATCTCGATCATTCGTCACCAGATTCTACAAGGTTTGATCGACAATCCGATGGAGATTATTGAAAAAATCCACTTCCCTTCATTTATCGATCTCAGTCGGTTGACAGCATTCGATTCGATGGAGAAACGTCTCAATACCATTCAAACTCTTCTCTTCGTTAATTATTTTCAACCCGATGTTTTTGAACAACCCATTGAACAATGGTCACGAAATTGTCTTTCCATTGAAATTCTCACTAACTGTGGTCCCGATATCACGACGGAAGGTATCATCAGTTTTTATCAATATTTAACACTATGGGAGCAATTCAAACATTACAAAATCTGCGATGATCAACGCGATCTTTTCCTTCGACATTTTATTGAAAAACAACGTCGAGAAACATTAACATTACCGATAATCAATGATGTTCTCATCTATGCTAAAACATCCTCAGATACACCAGTGATGATTCTCTTCTCGAATCAGTTGAACTGGTTCATGAAATTACGTTTAAATTATATTGAAAGTCAACTTGTTCAATCTTTCAGAGATCTTCAATATTCGAAATCTTTGATCGATCATCTTGTTCAACGTCTTGGCGATGAAGAACAATTAACAGCTGTTTGTCTTGATGTATGTCTTCCTACAATTCGAACAGCCGATGATATCTTGACACTTCTCAACCTGTTCACCAGTTATGCATTGACGAAAGATGGGTTTATGGAAATCTTCTTCCATGCAACAACTCCAACAGATTTTTCGACATTGCAAAAGAAGATTGAAGTTTTCATTCTTGGAAAAACATTGAAATCCAATTGGATTGGATCGAATGAAAACTTGTCACGTGTTCGAACTTTGTTTCAAACTTTGATTCAACGTGGATGGACGGTACCGAAATTACTGCTTATTCTTACCATCAAAGGCCCAACGAAAACACCGGAAGAATTACTCTATTTGATCGATATTTTGAAGATTCTTGTCGATTATAATGTGGATTCGAATCTTTTTTCTCATCTGGAATCGATTCTGTCGGAAAACGCACTTCGAGCCTGTTTAGTATTGATCTACAATCGTGTGATTGAACATTGTTTTGGTTCAACAAGTTCAGAGAAGAATCTCAGTACATTATTGTCTGAATTGGACGAATCGAATCCACAGATCAATAAGAACGAGTTGCTGATGAAATATGAAACGATTGAATCGAAGTACAAATCAGATTCAACTGTTTTTCCTCAGAAGAAACCTATTGAATCCTGGTCAAAATCAATGATACAACGATGGGCTAAACATAATCGATCGAAAGCCGTCACCATACTCGAAATGATTGCTGTGATCAAACGTGCTATTTTTCTCGATTCAAATTTCGAACCTCGTCCAATTCAAATCCTAGCTATTCTCATTCTACTCGATCGAAAGGATCAAGGTGGACGATTATTACAAATCTTAACTGGTGAAGGTAAATCAACAGTTGTATCAATCTTAGCTGTGATCAAAGCTTTACAAGATCAACATGTGGACATCATCACCAGTTCAATTACCTTATCCAAACGTGATTCACATGAACGAAAAGGATTCTATGATTATTTCAATATCACTGTTGCGCATAATAATGATGAAACAAATTACACTTCAGGACCAAAACTATGCTATCAGGCGGATATTGTTTATGGAAATTCCAGTCAATTCCAGTTTGATCTTCTTCGTCATGAATTCAGTCTGTTGAATACACGGTAAAACTTTTCGCGAAGATTTTCAATGAAAAACAATCGAATTTCTGTTTTAGACCCCTGGATAAAGACAAAGGTCTTATACGTCGTTTTGATGCTGTGATCATTGATGAAGTAGATAGTATGTTAATTGATGAGAATAATACGTTGGCTCGTCTAGCTGATCAATTACCGGGGATGGAATGGCTCAATCCAGTCCTCTATGGCATTTGGAGTTGTATTGATTCTGAGAAAGAACCATCTGTAAAACGAGATCAAATTATTGATAATATGAGAAAACTCGTCTCTGACCCAAAGTCAGATTTGAAACTTCCTCAACATTTGAAACGTTTCATTGATGAATCGATTCCAATTTGGATCGATCATGCCATTCTAGCAAAAGTGGAATATCGACTCGATCATCATTATATGATTAAATCGGACGAGACACGAACCAAACGAATAATGCCGATTGATTTCTCGAATACAGGTGTTGTGCAACCGTGTACAACATGGAGTGATGGTCTACATCAATTTCTGCAAATCAAACATGGATTGAAAATGACCGAATTGACTGTAACAACGAATTATCTCTCGAATATTGGTCTTTTCGTTCGTTATGGGAAGAATATCTTCGGTTTAACTGGAACCATCGGTTCGAAGGACACACAGAATCTTCTCGATCGAATTTATCATGTTGATACAATTATTATTCCACCATTCAAACAGAAACGACACATTCCATTGAAAGCAATTTTAACTGCAAACGATGATCAATGGTTGAAAACAATTGTCTCGGAAACGATCAGCAATGCTCGACATCAACGCGGTATTTTAGTCATTTGTGAAACTCGATTAGATGCGAAAACGATCAGTAAACAAATCCAACGAGCAGATCCAACACTTCTCGTTCGTTTATACACGGATAATACCGATGCAGTTGAATCGGATGTCGTTGGAAATCGAATTCAATCGGGTGAGATCATTGTTGCAACAAATCTGGCAGGTCGAGGAACTGATCTGAAAACCAGTCCAAATGTTGAGAAAAACGGTGGTTTACATGTTTGTTTAACCTATCTTCCCAATAATTTACGTGCGGAAGACCAAGCTTTTGGTCGCACTTCTCGTCAAGGTCACCGAGGAACATCACAAATGATTCTCAATTCTCAACGAACATTTGAACAATTAAGGAGTATTCATCCTGAATATTCAATAACAAATCCAAGAAGAACATTCACTCATTCAATGGAAATCATTTGTGATTGGCGTCAAGAAGCGGAACGAATTCACCTTGAACAAATGCGGAGAGACGAAATTGTTGAGATTAAATTGAAAGATCAATTATTTCAACGATTCTGTCAACTATTGAATAAATTACGTCAACAGAATGACAATGTCTATCGACTTCTATCCGTAAAAGAACAATGGGGTCTTTGGCTGAAATCGATGGACTATGCGACACAAAATCGTCGAAATCTTCGTCTCTATTTAGAAAAACTCGGTTTCATTCCTGACGATGTTCCAGCAGATGGTCATAGTTTCTTTCATGCTCTCTCCAAACAAATCCATGGTGAACTCACTGCTGATGAAATCAAAAATCAAGTGATCGAACATATGATCAATCATTCCGATGCCTACCGAACGATCAGTGAAGAAGAACGTCATCAAGCCACATGTGAAGCATTGAAGATGAATTTAATCATCTATCGAACTGATTCTCGTTCTCCACATATCTATGAACGAGAAGATGCCATTCATACGTGTACTCTTGGCTATGAAGTTGATTCCTATTACTTTTCTCTTCGATCGAATCAATCGGATGATCCAACGGTAAAGACAAAACAAGAGAAATTTCGACGAGAACAACCTTTCAAGCAATTCAAAATATTCGTCGATCGAGCAAAAAAACAGAAGGAAACATTGAATGAACAATTAGCAACAAAAATCATCGATCATGATCTGAACACTGGTTTCACCACATTTGAAAACGAAATGATAAAGAATTATGAAAAAGAGGATTTCATTCGGAATCCATGTTATCTCTTGATGGACGCAGAAACGGTCATCAAACAACTGACAACTTGGTCGAATAGTGCTCGATCATGGATTGAAGGTCTTCCAGGTACTGATAAACGTGCAGTGACTTATAAAGATGCTGTTGATCGATTGGAAAAAGCCATTAAACTTGATCCTATCTTTACATTTGCTGCCCAAGTGAATCTTGCCCATTTTCTCATCGATAAAGAACGATCAACACCACACTACAAAATCAAAGCAAAATTCTATTTGAATGAAGCACAAGAAATCCTTGGGAAATACATTCTACCTCAATTGTATAGTATGCAAATGGAAACAGAGAAGAAGAATGACGAGGAATTAATCTATGATGATTTCATCAATCAGATTAAATTAAAAGTGAGCATTCTTCAGTTGTATCAGAGTCATGTTAGTCAAGCGATCACGATTATTGAAGATTCACAGAAATTAATCGATATCACTGTCACGGATGAAGATAATCCTGGTCGAATTTTTCTCGGGAAAAAATTGTATCATGATGAAGTGACAACGTTCCTCGATCAAGCACATGGAAAGATCGATTTAACTTTTCATAGTTTGAAAAGTCATACTGATCTCTGGAAACATGATCAAGCATTGAAATTACTGGAGATACTTTCGGAAGAAGATCAACATGTTTCAATTCATTTTCTCGATGGATCGATGAAGAAAATCGAAGAATTGGAATCGATTATCACCTCGGAAAAGATTCAGTTGAATATCGAATATCTCGATTCCAATGAACTTGATCCATTGATGGAATTAGGATCAAAGATCGATCTGAAATTAACAGCAACAACAAAAGATTATCTGGCCGTACTCAAAGCCATTCATGAACATGTGGAATCAGATGAGAAATCTGATCAAACACGACAAGAAACTTCCAAGACACGAACTGATCGACGGATTATAGAAATGGATGACCACATTGAATTGATCACTGATACACATCGTTTAGTATTAACATCTGATAATGCTTTGAAAACTCTTCGAGATGAGAGTATAGCCGTTGAATCTATTCTCTTCAAATCGATCCGCAAAGAACACGTGCATTTTATCCTATCTCATGTCACTCAACCCTGTTTTACATTAATATTTCATTCTTTAACTATCGATCGTTTGAAAAAGATCGTCAAAGATGTGACGAAACCATTTAATTACAAATTTCGACATTTATCGACCAGTCAAGCGAAGACATTGATTGAAAAGACCAGTGATCGAGATTTTCTTCTCTTGATTCAACATTTATCCTTCAATCGTGCAAAGAAAATAATTCAGAAATTCGATCTCAATGAACAAGATGTGAAAAGCAGTTTGAAACATTTGTCGGAAATTTTTTCTAAAACTGATCAACAATACGAAGAATTAAATGCTTATGGCTTGTTAGGTGTCAGTCTATTGATCAATGTCGATGAACTTACTCCACGTTCATGGATCAGTGCAACGCTTGTTGTCGTCGGCGGGGTTCTTCAAATTGCTGGAGGTGTTTATCTCACTGCAGTCACCTGTGGTTTCGGTATTACTTTCGGTATTTCATTGATTGGTGAAGGTATCAATGATATTATCTTTGGCATTCGAGGAGCTCTATCACGACGATTCTCTTGGAAAGATTATGCGATACAAAAAGCTATCAGTCTTGGTATTTGCTTTGCAACATTGGGCTTCTCAGCTGTTTCTCAAGCATACAAAGGTGTCCAAGCAGTTGGATTAGCGGGTGCATCTTCCACTGTCTCAGCAACACGACAAGGAGTCGTGGCAATTTTCAAGAACAGCTTTCGAACAGTTGGTTCGGGTGCGTTGAAAGGAGTTTCCAGTTCAAGTTGGTTATTAGCTTTTACACAAGTCGGTATTACGTGCGCTGAAACAGGTGTAAGAGAATTGGCCAATTACTTTTCTGATGCAGCCTACCAAGGACTTCTTTCACAAGTTAAATCCTTGATTCGAGACGAGATAGGATCGGTCGTTCGAACAAATCAGTCAAATGAACATTATCAACGTATATTCAATCGAGCATTGACTGTCGATCGATATTATAATAAAGATGAATGGCGAAAAGAACTTGAACGAATTGCAATGGATATTTTAACGAAAAATAAAGATCAATTTCTGGAAACAGTTCAATCTCTATCCAAAGGTATTACCGATGCTTTTCTCAATCATTCACGACAGTTTTTACGTGAAACCGGTGACAAAAGTAATTATGGTGGATATGTCAAGACTGCTCAATTGTTATTGACCATTGGACCGATGCTGAAAGGTGCACAAGAGATCCGAACATTGACCGATTCATTCTATACTCAATACATGGCACAACTGAAGATATTGGAAGAGAAAATTCCGACATTCGAAGATCTTCTCGTTCATGCCTCGAATCAAGAAATTTCATCATCATTATCAACGAGACGTGTCGTCAAATCTTTAGTTAAACATTCGATTCTCACTTCTGATGGTCTTCTTCATTCTCAATTCAATCAAGGTAATGATGAAGAATCTGATTTGAGTAATGCAGCTAGTTTCTTGCAAACATCGGATGGACCTGCACGAACACCAAAAGAAATATTACGTCATCGATTAAAGAAATTGAAATTTAAAAAAGATGAACAACGAATCTCTACGGAAACAGTGTTGATGAAAATTGTTGGTAGTGAAAATCATTCATCACTTCGTGTCAGTATCTTTCAAAAGAAAATTGTCACTATATTAGTCGATCAAGTTTGTGCCATTCTCTATGGTACTATGGTCGCACCATTGAAGCATTTTGTCATTTCTCAAACTATTGCTGCAATGTCAACGGCGATTCAGCTTAAAATCAATCCTGATAGAACCGTAATAGAACAATTGATGGAACAAGGTGCACAACGTTACATTCATGGTGTTGCTAATGGTCTGATCGACAAGTATAATCGAGGTGAACTCAAAGTCGATCCACAAGCCAAAGAAAAACTCGATAAACTGCTTGAAGAATCTCAAACCACGAGTAAACAATCGAAAACATTGAATGAAAACTTAGCGTTGAATGTCGTCAATGGTAAACACGGTGGCATTATTGAATTGGCTGTTTTAGCCATGTTGACAAAGAAACCAGTCACGGTACTCAAAGAACAATCTGATGGACAAGCAACTGCAGATGATGGAAGTATTCAGATGGTTCACACTCCACCCACAACGGACGAAACAACAGGAAAAACAATTGATGGTCATTATGAATTGGCGGGAGATACTACAGCACAGGGTGGACCAAATGATTGCTTGTACACAATTATTCTTAGTAAAACACAAGATCAATTTTCATCGGTTGATGATATGCGAATGCAATGCGCTGCATTTATCTTAACCAATCCGAGTTTTATCTCGGGAATTCATCCAGCTTTAAGTATCATTAATCACACTCGAAATCCACTTCGTCGGAGAGAACTGATAGGAGAAGGTGGAGCAAAAGAAGTTGAATACGTAGACAAAAAGGTCAACACTTTATCAGAGGCTAAGGAGAAAGTTGTGAAAGATCTTAAGAATTACGTCCGCGATCGAAGTATAAATCAAATCTCGAATACGGCCAAAACGGAAATTATAAAAGTCCTTGACAAAGATAAAGTATTAAACAACTTTGATGAAATGACGAGTTATGAGAATGGAGTCGTTCAAATTGAATATGAAATTTGCGTGACAAAGGAAGCAGATACAAAAGGTTTCAACATGTATCTTTCGATCGATGCTGATCCTGCCAATGACAAGCATGCCAAGAAGAAAACTGATCCTGCCAATGACAAGAAGCATTACCAACCTGATCATTTCGGTGCTGTGATGGATTGCGATGGAGAGGGCAAGAAAACGACTCATGCATTCTTGCCGAAGGGTGTTCTGCAGTGTAGACGACCTCTGAACACAAGTGATCCTGCACCACGCAAAATACCAGGATACCCAATTTCATTTAAAGTTCCTACCGGTGAAACTGTGACTTACAAAATAACAATTCACCGATACGAGTGCCCGTTAGAATGTGCTGAGGAATTATAAACAACTTCTTCGTGCGATTTTTTTTCCTATGTTGACCGACTCTCTAGCAGATGGGAAAGAGGAAAAATATCGAAGGTTAAAAATCTCGAAAAGTACAATATTGAAAACAAAAATGGTAAAAATATTGAAAGATAGAAATGCTGAGAATGAAAGTTTATCGAAATAGATCTCTCTCTCCCCCTCCCCCTCTGGCTCACCACCTTCCATCCTCAATTCTTGGTTTAGAATTTTTTGTTTTCGACACTTTTACTTTTCGACGTTTTTCTTTTCGCCCACTTGCAAGTTAATCATATTGATCATGTTTGTACTTGTTGCTCTGTCGTACTTGTGTCGTGGTCTGTCGTATAGTAATGCAGTCGTCTGTCGTAGTTATGCTGTAGTCTGACGTAGTTATGTCGTGGTCTGTCGTATATTGGAATATATAGAAGCTTGTTCTTCTTGTAATCAATTCATTTCTTCGATGGATCCAACAGCAACAACAACGATCGTCTCATTCCTTCTCGAACTTAAGCCAACCAGTAGCATTATACTACGATACTCTCTAACAGGTCTGTTTATGTTTTAGCTAAAGCTATCGCTCAAAACTTTTTCTCGTTTCCTTTCCACGCACACTCATCTAGAAATATACTGCACTTCACCTTTACTGCATCAACTCACAATCAAACATAGGTTAATACCTTTCGTATTAATGGATTTTACAAAGTACAATACGCGTATTTTACAGACATTCCTAAAGACTATTCCCAAAGATTGGTAACTAGTCTCTCACATCTGTTCTGTCATAGCCTAACTCTTGTAGCTCATATAGTCCTAATAACACAGTAAATATATAATAATATATTCTTAATGAATTGTATCCTTCAGTACAAAACTACTCGAAATCCATTCTCCCTACTACTTCAGCTCTTATTAATTATGAAGTAGTAGAAAGAGTTGATTGAATAAGAGTTGAGAATCATATTCAGCAGGTATGTATAACTTTTACTGACGGTTATTAACTCAGACTCCTATCTTCAATATAGAAAACAGCGCATCAACTCTTATTCAATCAAAAGTAAAATTAGGTTGTATAAAGAAAAAGATTTAAATTTCAGAACAGGGTATCAAAACCTCAAAATATTTACTACTTGGTTGCTCAAGTGAAATGTTAACATCATGGGTGCTCTACTCACCACTGCAAAATTATTCTGCCATTACTTTTATAGTACCAGTTGTAGAATTAACATTGTTTTGATTTTCTTTCGAGAATTCAAACGTGACTATCTGAAGAGCTTGGTTGCTCAAGTGAAATATTAACATCATGGCTGCTCTACTCACCTTCACCCTTACCCTCAACACCCTTGTTTTCGTTCGTTTAATTTTTCTCTCTTTTCTTTTCTTCTCCTGCATTTTTTTTCCTTTTTATTTTATTTATACATAGTTTCGTTTTTCTTTCTGTATGATTTAAGAGATATATTTACGCAATAGAATATTTTCACGTCTCCAGTACATATTTCTATTTCTTATCCGACAAGAATATTCTAGAAAACAATAGTGCTATCTTCAATTACATAATCACGTATTTGCATGCCTTTCTCTATAATCCAAAGACAGAATGCGTATCCATGTATGTATAAGAACAGGAATTCTATGCACTATTGCATATTCCCCATTCGTATATATTTTCCCCACTCTATACAAATGCACAATACAGGTCGAAATCCATTCTCCCTATTCATATTATATATACACACTATTTTTCCTTTTTATTCTTCATTTTAACTCAAACAATGCATCAAGTAAATACAATTATAAATTCTTTTTAGCTTATTATCTCCATATAAATTAATATGATTTTACTATAGCCTATGACACATCTAGCAATTCGTAGAAATTCATATTTTTATTACAATCATAAAATAGAAACACATAACTCTTATCAACAAATTTAAATCACTTCATTCGAACTGAACAATTTCCTTCTGGTCATCGTCGAATTTTCAGTACTATAGTTTAACATAGAATATAATACTAAAATTCACATAAAACAATTTGGTTATCTCTTCTACCTATTTAAACTCACCATTTGAATAATAGAACTATCTGCTTCTCTTGAATTTGATTGAAATCAATATTGAGAGAAATCGTTTTTTGATTTTCTTTTCAATTTAATTTCATTTATGCAGATTATTTTTAAACCACCTGATGAGGCTGTGAGATTCAGCCGAAACGCGTCGCGGTGGTTCTATCTATATAAACTCACCCTCACCCTAACCTCAACAAATTTTGTCATGGTAGATTTACTTGAAATGTTTTTTAGATTTAGTTCCTTTTTTGAACTGAATCTTTAAAAAATGTTTTTAGGTATTTGCCATCTGATGAGATTCTTGTATGTGTTTCTATCAGTTTAAATATTCTACACATTGTTTTTCTGCTTATACAACCGTGTAGATGTTAGATATATACTTTAATTTGATTCTTTCCTCTTAGAATCGAAATAACTTCTATGTCTAAGCCACCTGAGGAGTCCCTTGAGCAAGGACGAAACCGGTCGTGGTATGGTCTCTTATAACCCTTTTTCTTACAGTATGTGAAAAGCTCGTGCATCTGAAAACAAAAACAGCTTTCTCAATCGCTGAAAAGTCTGTGACTCAATATCCTCTGCTCTTTACAAAATAATTTTTATTTAAAAGTGTTTCAACGCATGATAGGCTTCGAAACACGGTACTGTGCATAAGCCAACATTGCACTCTTTGCATTCGTAGCTGGTTTTTGTTCACCGTTGGTCTTTCTATCCTTATCATAGATAAAACTCCTCAAATACTTGTGTAAAATTGTACTCGGAGTCATTTTAATATGGGCATATAATGGAAACCTAGCCGTCCCATATATGGGACACCCGGCGCGAAAGGGTTAAAGAAATATTTTTGTTAAGAGAAGATTGATCGTTACTATACATAAGTTGCCCTTGATAATGAAGAAATGTTACTGAACCTTTTGAGTACTAGAATGTTAAACTCTTTGTATCGATGAAAATAGGTGTACTGATAATGTCTTCTTTACATCGAATGAATCAATGGAAATAGTCCAACAATTATTAAAAGATGCTAATGCATGCCATCCCAGTATCAAATTGGAAGTATAGTGAAAGATTTAGAAGTTATAGGAAAAGACTGACCTATTGTATAATAACATTAATTCAATAGCAATCTGTTCTTTGTTAAATGTTTCGAAAGTCGACGAATGTCGTATTGCACGAACTAAAGCCGTTTGAATAATATTTGAAAATGTATGAGGAGGATGATCGGAAAGGAATGGTATTACGTAAGGTTCAGCCGAAGGTTTGTGATACACCGATGTTTGAGGAACACCTTGAAGATTGCTTGAGAGAGAGAGAGAGAGAGAGAGAGAGAGAGAGAGAGAGAGAGTTACAAGGACATCAATAAATGGAACACTACTACCTATGTGTGCTTCCAATTTGATACTGGGATGGCATGCATTAGTATCTTTTAATAATTGTTGGATTATTTCCATTGATTCATTCGATGTAAAGAAGACATCATCAGTACACCTATTTTCATCGATACAAAGAGTTTAACATTCTACAGATAAATAATATGCAAACTTACCGGCCATAAATTTCTTCACGCTTTTTTTGTCGGTGAATCCATCGTTGTTCCCAATGCCACATAAATATATTTGCCAAAGTTAATGTAAATGGTGAACCCATAGCACAGCCAATAATCTGTTTATATAATTTGCTGTTGAAGGTAAAAGCATTTTCTTTCAATACAATTGCTGCTAATTTTTCGATAGTTGTAACTGGTATATCTTTCAACCTTTCACCAACAAAATGACGAAGAAATTTACCAAGAATCTTAATTGATCCATCTTGTAGTAACATAGTAAATAAATTGTTGATGTCAAAGGTACAAAAAAGAGCGGATGTTTTGAGATAACCATTAGTAGCATATTCTTCTAGACGAGTAATTAAATTGATACCATTAATGATTGTATTATCTTTATTGTATTTATTGTAGAAAGGTCGAATTCGTTCATCTAAGAAGTGGCTCTCTTAGAGAATGGTCTGATCTCATCTCAACACATCTGCAACTAAATGAAACAGGACACAAAATCGATTGGAAAAACTTTGAAGTTATTGATCATGATAATCATTCGTACTATTTACTCATAAAGGAAAGGCTAATGATTAAGAAGTTACAACCTAAATTAAATTGCACAACTCACTCTGTTCCGATGATCATCTTTCCGGAAGGTATAGTTCGGAAAAAGGAGAGAGACAAAAAATAAGTAAATGTGATGGTCAAGATGAGATGGACTATACGCACATATGTAACAATGTCAATTTTTCTCTTTCTTATTCTTTAGCTTATCCTATTTCTTGAATAGGTTAGAAATAGATATGGGCGGGACCGATGATTTTTAGTGCCGGTTCCAGTCCCGGTCCCGTGCAGTTGTTTCGGTCCCGTCTCGGTCCCAGTCCCGTAAACTTCTTTCGGTCCCGGTCCCGTAAAGTAGTGTCGTTCCCGTCCCGGTCCCGGCCCCGTAAGGTTGTTTCGATCCCGTCCAGTCCCAGTCCCGTAAAATTATTTCGGTTCCGGTCTCGCACGGTTTTTATGGTCCTGGCCCTTAAACCAATTACGCTCACACGGAAATAACACTGTATTAATGCCAGAAAATTCAAGAGTTTTCTAATCGACAGTTATCTGTTATTTGTCCGTTTATGGATGAGGTTATTTGTCCGTAAACGAAAACGAGATGAGATGAATGACAGCAGTCAAGAGGATGTAGATGCAAATAATAATGATATAAATAGTCAGCTGGGTGATAATCTATTTGATGACATATAAACTGCCTTTTAAATAAAACTAGCTCCTTTTCTAGAATCTCAAACTGAGATCCTGGTGTTTTTAATCAAGTTTGCGTGACGTACATGGAAAGTTAAACGCGTAGAAAAGCACTGTAAGACTCCCTAACGATTTCTACAACATTTCTATTTAATTAGGGAGAACAGGTGAAGTTATAACTGAATTTACGCAATTGTCAAAAATAATCTTAGTTCTAGTGTCGGTCCCGATTTGGTCCCGGAAAAATAGTCTTTAGTTCCGTCCCGGTCCCAATCCCGGTAAAATAATGTTTTTTCTCCCGGTTCCGCTCCCGCCCATGTCTAGTTAGAAAGTAAAAAGAGAAATATAGTAAGAAAAGAATAGAAAGTACAAGAACTGCGCAACATGTATATATACAATTTATCCCACTACATTTAGACCTTGTATTTTATATCCTTGACAATGATTTTTTAATAAATCGAAACGTCGGAATTTAAAATAAAATAAAATGATTCACACTGCTGCTGTTGTTATGCTTTTTCTATTGAAAATTCTACCTATTATAAATAATAAAGTTATTTTGATCATGTACAAAAGTTGAAGACGTTTTCAAGAGATCGGACAAATTTGTTGAGCAAGAGCTGGAGAGTGACTTGTTAGAAAGTGGTGAAAGTGAAAGTGAATTTGATGAAGAATAGAATTTTTGTTTTTTTTGTGTGATATAAAAGAATAATGATTTCATAATAAAGACGAAGAAGGAAGAAGGAACAAAAGGATTACACGAAGTTAGAAAACTCAAGCTTATAAGAATGAACGGCATTGGGCCTTGGCTAAAACTTCTATATTTTTTGGTTTCTAAACCTTGACGATTCAGAGCCTAAAAGGTTTTCTAAACGCAGAACAAGATTCACCACGATGATTAGCATAGTTGATAATCTATATTTCAAGTATTTTTTCGCTTTTTGATGAGACGCTTTTTTTCGCCACCACCGAAAACGTCCTGGGGCTCCTCAGGGACGTAAAATATTGGGTATTACAGAGATACTATTCGAAATCGGACGCTTCGGACTATAACCCCAGCGAAGAAAAACATTTTTCTGGGGGTGAAAGCACCCTACTTTGCCCAACTTTTACCCCAAAAACTCACCCTGAGCATCTCAATTGTACAAGTCTCACTTAACTTTCCTTGCATACAACAAGTTAGAACCACTCCTGTCACTTTAATTGTGGAATTAATCTGTCATCTCATCACGAATCATATCACATAATCGAGAGTCATCAAAGCAATTAGAAGAATAGTCATTCTTCCGCATTATTGTTTCCAACTGCTATTTTTTCCTACAATTGCGTGTCATTCTCTTTAATTGCTCTTTTTATTTTATCGTTCTGATGGCTTTTTCTCAGTGTGATTGATGTAATCACGAACAATGACAGATGAGAGAAAATATTTGTAGATTTTGCACTACTTGTACTGAAGACAGAAAACTTTTTTTGCGGTAATGATGCATACAGATTTTTGCTTTACCTGTGATATTTTCTACTTGCGACAGAATTATTTTTTCGTTTCATTTTAAGCTCTTTGGGCACACAGTTTTGTGCTGCAAAAAATGGATCAACCTTTTGCTGATGAAAAAGCTCACCGCCATAGATTCAATCCTTCAAAATAACAAAAATAGAAATGGACTGTCTAAAAGGAATGAATGCTTTTTTAGTCTTTTTTTCGATTAATTATTAGAAAATGGGCTCCTCCTGTTCATTGTCATTATCGCGTCACCGTTCACTACCAGCGCCTCTATCGTTGCCAGCCGTTGCGCAGATTCATTCGACAATACAAGAAATGTGGTCGGAACTACGCGATACAAATCATTATGAACAAATTGGCGTTCAGTTTATGATATGGTGAGTGATGAATCCGGGTCAAAATTGCGTTGCATGTTTATTCTGCGTGTAGTTTATTGATAACCCATCCAGAATTGAAGCGGCTGTGGATATTTTGTGCACAATTAGAAACTGTCGACGAAATGCGATCAAATTCTCAATTATGTTATCATGCCAAAAAGATCACGAACACTCTCAATGATCTTATCATTCATATTGACAATCCTGAAAAACGAAAACAAATTTTGGAATCATTGGGAAAAACACACTATCAGTACGATGTCAAACCAGTTCACTTTGAGGTGAAGCTGATTATAATTAGTAAATACGTAACCTAATATCTGTTCTTGTTCCTCTTCGATTCTAGTTCGCAAAAATTGCAATGGATTCTGCTTTAACCGAAGTACTCAGAAGTGATTTTACACTGAAACGAAAACAGGCATGGTCATTTTTTTTCCAGCAAATTGTTGTTGATCTTAGATATGGTGTCAATCAACAAGAAATGTTGCTGTAACTGTTTCAATTTTATTATGTCGACAATATATGTTTATGCCAGAGATGGGCGAGTCTGAGTTTCGAGTCGGGCTCGAGTCGCATTTGTCTTTGGTGCGGACTCGAGGTGAAAGACTCGATAAACTTGATAAACTGACTCAACTTACTTACAAGTCAGCCATATGCAACTTGTGATTGTTATGACGGTGTTTATTATATTTGTTATGTACCATAAGAGAGAGAAATTTGAGAATATTCTAAGTAGAAGAAGATCTAAGATCACCTAGAAAATCTTACCAATAGCAAACTGTTCAGAAACGTGAATATACCTTGCGGCGCTAGAACAGTTCGTCCAACAAATCCTGTTCTTGTGTAGAAACTGAAATATTCGTTATGGACAAGTTTTCCTTCTTTTTTACTAATAAATAAACAAACATAGCTCATTCTGAGTACTAGCGAACTATTTCAAAAAAGCGCAAAAACTTGATTGAAAAAGCTTCGGCTTAAGTCTTAGAAGCACAAAAGCAACTCAGAATGATCATCAAATCTCTCCATAAGAACTAAAATTAACTTCCTCAATACCTTAAATGATTTTTCGTGTTACTTTTTCTTTACCTTAAGGAAATAATCAATGCTGCATACACTAAGCTCATGACAAAAGCTACACAACCAGCTCCAATTGAACAACAATTTTTATGCCAATATTTGAATATAGGTGAATGTTTACCGATTGAAAATCAAGGACGCTTATGTTTTAGCTACGATTTAAATTGTCATAGGTATCGTTTGAATTTAGTTTAGCACCTGAATCATGGCAATGGAAATCTGAGAGTTAGAAAACAGGTGAAGAGCAGCGTCTATAGCAAAAGTTATTTTTAGAGCTTTTTAAAACAGAAACATTTTCTTTTTCTTTCTTTTCTCTTCTGTGAAATTTTCTTATACTCTTGCTCTTCCTCGTTGGACTAAAGTAATTTGTCTGTCTTACCTTTTGATTTGCTGTTTTTCTTCAGATTGTAAATTCGTCGACAATCAAACAAACACACACAGTTTATAATAATAACAAAAACCAACATCGATGCAAGCAAAATAAATATAAAAAGGGTTGAATGATTTTAATTCTGCAATATATTGTGACAAATAATATTTGGCTTTAAATTCTTCTTCACAATTATTCAGACATGTTTTCTGTTTAATCGTCTATAATGAAAACAAAAACAAGACGCATTTTAAGAATAAAAATTGATTTTAGCACTCAGGATAGAGACCAACATTTTTGTCAGTCTGATCGAACAATTTTTCTGAGTTTTTCTTCCTGCAGTTTCTAGTAAAAATGTAATGCTCAGATCAAGTCAGCTGATTACTGGCCCATTCTAAGTCAAAGATTTTTGCTAATTCAAATTCGTAGATTTTCTCAAGATTCGAGCCGATCCGAGATATTTTTCAAATTTTCAAACTATAATCGAATTGCTCTTTTATCCATGATTAAACTTACTTCTTTCAATGAACCACTGCATTTTTGAATAGCATTATATTGCAATCCAAGGTATTTTGCTAACGTTTGATTTATATCGTTCATGTTAGATCTAAAATTAGAGAATGAGGACTAGGAAAACATTTTAATTTTTATTATTTTTATTATTTTAAAAGTTTAAATAACTTCTCGAGATCGAGAAAATTAGCTTAAACTAAAGTAATCCAAAGAGAGATGCGTTTGGCTATTTTCTCTTTTTCCTTGTCCTTTTGTTCAAAACTAAATATATAAATAACGTGAATCGCATTGATTCACTAAGTCCATTGCCTGTAAGTCGAATGAATGCACTGTCGGTATTATTATTCATTCTGTTGTAACTCGATCTACAGAATTGATGCATATCTTTTGCGATGAGAACGTCCATATTTTCCACCTTAGTTTACAGAAGCAATTGCTATAGCTTTTCACCTGTCAGAAACGTTTACCAGAGTGAGTACGTGTTTCGAAGCCAAGTATGGAATAGATGTCAAGTCTATGAAGTCAGCATCAGTTCACGAGTTATGTGATTCTCAAAAGTTTGAAAACGTCATAGCGTTATTTACTCAATTTGTGTAGTTCATCGAGTCTCTGTAATTTGATTTCGTTTTATCTGATCCCCAAAGGAGCCCAAAGGTATAATAATATGTCGAAATTCCAGACAATGCTCACGCGTCCCTTCGGTCCGCGCTCGCAGCCAGGATAGGTGTTACACGTCTCTGATTCCACAAAAAACTGGAACGCATCTATCCATGTGGATCTTTGTCCGTGACACTCATTAGTGATTTTGTGTATGTATAATATATGATTTCCTATTGTTGTTCTTGCTCTATCTACTTCTCCCATTGCCATTATTTGACGTTCACATTGTGTAGCAAGATCTGCTGCTCATCGTAATCTCGATCTTATAGTACACTTAAAATGAAATAAAATAAAACGAATGCAACCAAGGCTAATAATGACATAACACGGAATAACCAACGATCGGTGATATTTTTGTCGTCATTCTTTATAACAAAATAATTACCAATACAAATCATTCCAATAGTCATGTCGTTTCTTAAATGTTGATTTGCCAATGTGTCACGATATTGGTTTAACTTTAGAAGATCAGTATCAAGAAATGCCATGGTCATTGGTACGAAATGTATTGGTTGACTTATTGCATGAACATCGTGGAAGAGTTGGTGTAATGACGGAGTTGAATCTAAATCGTCATAATAGTTCTTCGATAACCTTTCGATTATCAGCAATTGTTCATTTGATGACAATAAGTTAATATTTGCATCCCTACGAATAATATCCGGTAATGAATTTTTGAATGAACGAACCATTAATTTCACTTGAATCCTCTTTATCTTTTCACGTGATGACGATTCTTGTCGATCCACTTCATTTAGCTGTTCAATGATACCGCCTAATTTTCCTTGAGTTTCTTCCAAATTGACACCATTGTAAAACTTTCTCATTTCCGTGTATGAATGTAGGCTAGATATGTTCGAATAAAATGCAATGCGTTTTAATTCTTTAACCGTTGCTTGAATTGGAGCTAATATCTCCAGATGTTCGTTTCGATCTCGTATATAGTCTGAAAAAGTAATTGTGTCTTTGATCATCAATGTTGCTGATGCCGTTGACTCAGTCGTTGAATGTGAACTAAAACAGGCCGGCATCTTGTATTGAGCATCCAATGGACGCATTTCACAGCCGACCCTGTAAACGACAACAAACTATCGAATAGTTTCAGTTCATTTGTATTATCAGCTGTATGAATAACAGCAACAAAAAGCACAAGTTTTGCTACTGTAAGATGATGGTTCATATTGTAAATTAGCGTTGTTGTGTAAAAGTTGAAAATTTTATTTAAATAAAATTTCTTGATACTGATCTTCTAAAGTTAAACCAATATCGTGACACATTGGCAAATCAACATTTAAGAAACGACATGACTATTGGAATGATTT